AGCCCCAGTGTTTGTGAGATGCAGACTCCATGTCCCCTCTGCATGGAGGGGACACAAGGCTCTACCCTGACATGCAGTCTAGGGCAGGGTGACAAGCGCCACGGGTGGGACTCTGGGACAGGGTGAGAGCGTCCAGGGACCCAGGCTTGGGGCAACTGGCTTCCAAAAGGTCCCAATGTCACGCTCTCAATGGCTGGGGAGACATGGAAGATGCTGTTTCCAACTCACTGAGCACTTCGGGCCTCACTCTGTGTCAGGAACCTGCCTTCTCCCCTAGGTATAATCACATTTTCAACTCCTTAGAAACATTATTCTCACATAAATGGGAGGTGAACACGTGACAAGGTTTCATTTAGCTCATTAATGAGGGATCTGGAAAGACAAAAGCTGGCTTGAAAAGTGTCAACTTTAATAATAGCCAGTTATTTTACCAGCAAAAGCCAGTTTATTTGGGAATAGGCAGAGGAATTGCGAGTCGGAAAAGGGAGGCTACGGTGGACCAGAGGCAAATCCAGAGCTCAAGGAAGGGAACTCGCTTTTATAGGGGAAGGGGAGTGGAGCGGGGAGGGGGCTGTGATAGCCAGAGTCCATTGGAAGAACTGGGAGTCCAAAGTATGAAGGTTTCCCATTGGTTGGTCTGCGAAGGCCTCTGATTGGCTGGGCTGTCTGGGCGGAGAGATTTCTTCCTCTTGCTGGATAGTAAGTAGAGGCAGCTGTGCTTCCTGTTAGGAGTCATGGGCTCGCGTACCAGGCCTGAGAGCTCCCCCACAGGCCTTCCCAGACTCCAGCTGTGGCTGAGGTTTCCACAGTTAATTCCACAAAAGCATTTAAAACCCCGCCTTATGCAGTCAGTGGAAGAAGGAATGCCAAAACAGGACCACTCAGTTAGATACCAAGCTGGTTAATGCCCTATAGGACGGTGAAAACTTAGCTGCTAGGCAGGAAAACAAGACTGCAAGTGAACCTCTCACCTTTCTGTTATGCCAAGGCAGTGTGGATAGGGAGTCAAAGTTCATTTCCAGGAGAACCGGTGACTCTCGAGTAGTTCTCTGGAAAAAACTTGGCCTTTTCCCCGTCCTGTGGATAGTTGGCACTGCTTGAGGAGATGACGGGTGTGCAATGGATCGTTTTAATTAAACAGGATATCCAGGAGCAGCCCCAGTGCAGGTCAGGAGGGCTTCCTGGGGGGCGGTGTCACCGTGGGCGCTGAGCTACTGGGAAGGCGCAAGTGCGCGTGAAGCAGAGGGTTGAAGTGGCATCACGTATTCCAGAAATGCTTTATTTGGTGTCCCCAGCAAAGCGTCAGAGATGAGCCGAGCACGGAGCTGAGCCTGCAGGCAGCCTCCTGAGCACGGTGGCGGGGCAGGCCAGGGAGCACAGCTCTTCAAGGAGGGACGAGGTCAGGTGTGTGGGTGGTACCGTCACCTGCTCAGTGGAACTGCAGTTGGGGTGGAGGTGTGAGGGGGTCAGGTGAGGGCCAGATCAAGGTCAGGTCAGGGTTGGGTGAAGCTCAGGGGAGGATCAGATGAGGGTAAGGGGCAGATAATGGTTGGGTGAGGGTGAGGTGATGCAAGGAGTCAGAGTGTGAGGGGGTCGCATGGATGGGCGGAGAGGACACCCACTAACCCTGGAAGAATTCTGAAAAAGAAAAATGATGCCCTGCCCCAAAGGAAAACGCTACAACTAGATACTGTGCGTATTACTGAGGCTTATTTTAACTTCCAGCAACAGAGCATCCATCTGCAGGTGGCTACGGCCATGAAACTGCTCATCACATGACAAGAGGAGGGCCATAGCAGGAGGGCCACAGGTGAGACTTCATGATGCCCTCGTGGTCACAAGCTGCGGCTGTCACACCCCTGACAAAAACATACAGAAGTTGAGAAGGGACTTGCTCCCTGGTGCCCCTTTTTTGAAGGCCCCAGCAGACACCCCTCATGTTCCTTTGCTAAAGTCACATGATAGGCCACACCTACACTGGTTAGAGCCAGGAGACAGGCAGGCTCAGATCAGCGATGTTCAAGTGTGGTCCATGGACTCCCTCATGGTCATATGGGGTTAGGGCCCACCTTAATGATGTCATCTAGATTATATCTGCAAAGACCCTATTTCCAAATAAGGTCAAATTCACAGGTAACAGGGACAGGACTTCAGTACATCTTTTTGGGATAACCCCCATCATGTAGTATGTGGTGAACATGTGTCTCCAGTTTTCCACTACAGTATTACATTCAAGGCTGAGCAGGATAGCTTTTAGCATCAGGATAAACAATGCATGTTATTTAGAAATACAGAAAGAAGCTTGAAGCAGGTAATGAAATTGGGATGGCATGCCATGATGCCATTCTGGCCACACTACACCACTGGTGGATCTTTGACATCTTGTAGTTACAGGGTTCGTTCTGTCTCCACTTGAAAGAGATCAAGTGTTTGATGAAGGGGGCTTTTCCTGATTTTTGAAGAAGGAAGACTATGGCCTCAAAAAACTGTTTTTCTTAAGAGCAGCTGGAGGCCTGGTGCTGTATTAACAAAAACCAACTATAGGAGTTTTGTGGGGTTTTTTAAATTTAGTTTTATTTTTTATTGACGTATGGTTGATTTACAATGTTGTGCCAATCTCCAACTGTAAGGAGTTTGATTTCAATGAATTCTTTAGGATTTCTGGAGCCTTGACCAGGGTGGTGTGTTGTAGAAAAGCACCAATGACAGTCAAGGATCCAGTAAAGGGCCAGCTGCCCCTCCAGCCTCCTTGAACAACAGCACAATGGCCTCTCCCCCGTCCTCCAAAGTGTGTCTATACTGCTTCACCTTCTGATTACATCTTATCCATGGAGAAGCATCTCTTTTTTTTTTTGGGCTGCTTTGCGTCTTTGTTGCTGCACGTGGGCTTTAGTTGCGGCGAGCGGGGGCTACTCTTCTTTGCGGTGCACGGGCTTCTCATTGCGGCGGCTTCTCTTGTTGTGGAGCACGGGTTCTAGAGCGCAGGCTCAGTAGTTGTGACACACGGGCTTAGTTGCTCTGCGGCATGTGGGATCTTCCCAGACCAGGGCTCAAACCCCGTCCCCTGCATTCGCAGGCGGATTCTTAACCACTGCACCACCAGGGAAACCCATGGAGAAGCATCTTTAAATGATCCTGTCTGCCCTTCTGTTTTACTTGAATTGTTACCAGTCAGTGCCTGGGCTAGCAGGGACTGTGGGCATTTACTTTGGCCTGACCTCTGGAGCAGCCCCAGGACAAGGGCAGATGTTCAGGGAGCAGATTTCAGCCTGGCCACAGGGAGTAATTTTCCAATGGTCAGAGGTAGATGGGACTGGAAGCCTGGCCTTGAATTGGCAGATGGGCAAGTGGCAGCCATATTCCTCCACTTTCTGCCTGAACTTTTATTGAAATTTGGGGGGCAGAGGTCAGTGTCTCACCATGGAACCATCCCCCAGGAGGCTGGGAGCTCCTGTGGTGGGAACCCTTCTCCTTTTGGCTTGTGAAATAAACACCTCTCGTGGAGACACTCCAGGCACTGTTGGGTGGGCCTTATTTTATCCTAAGGCAGGAATATGGAAATCCATATGTGGATATAATCCTCTTAGGTAGTTACTTTTATTTGGGAGGTCCAGCAGAAGGAGGTATCCTGCTTAACTAGGTAATGGTCAAGTGGCTCTCAGCTGATTGGGACCATGGAGTCAGGAGTTGGAGATGGGAAGAAATTCCTCTGAGCTTTTTGGTTTCGTTTTTGCAAGGGTAGGATTGGGGACAAAATTCCACCTCCTGCATATTTTTCCAGTGTCCACTTTCCATTCTTTTATCTTAGTCTTTTTTTTTTTTAATAGTGGCTTCACCAGTACATAAACCAACTAATCAATCAATAAGCAATAGGTGTTGTAAACTAAACTAGCATTCCAAAGTAAACCCGTTTTTAGGTCCAAAGAAGTGCAAATTACAACGATAAAAATCTTAAACAATTGCTTTTGTAATTCTTCTTCCTTTATCTCTCCTCTGCCCCCACCCCCCAAGTGGGGCCTAAAGCAGTTCCCTGCCCACGAGCAGAGGGCTCTCTCCAACGTTGGGTGGAGGGATGGCATGGGAGAGGCTAGGGCCGCGGGCCTTCCAGCCGCTGGACGCCAGTTCTTCAGCGAGCCTCACGATGAAGCCCCCAGGGTGGCGTCTCCGGACAGTGAGCGCCACCACGCCGGCGCGCGCCGCGTGCAGCTGCCTGGTTTCCGCGCGTAAACGATCGCGCACCTAGTCAGACACCCAGCGCAGAAGACAGGCCCCTGCCTGGCGCCCACTGCTCCCTAGACCCGGAGAGAAGCCTGGGAGCTGGAGGGTCCCCACCTGGTCCTCTCCCCCAGCACCTGCAGACACTTGCACGGACGCACACACAAGCACCTGCAAACGTACACAGGAAGAGGTGCGCAGACGCATGCACACACGCACACAGAGACAGGCGGATGCGCACATAGACACACACGAACACGTGCACGCGTTCACACAGGCACACTCACCCAGCACTCTGCGTGGTGCCGTGGGAGTACCCGTGGGCGAGACCGCGAGCCTGGGCTCGCCTGGGACACGGGTCCTCGACACCAGGCGACCTGGCCCGGGTCTCCTGCCGCTCGTCTCCGACCGGAACCGGCCCTTGCGACGCCCCCACCCGGACCAACGTAGTCTCCGGGTGGGTGGGCGACGAGCCCCGGCACCCAGCCAGTCGGCCCACTCGGGAGCGTGAACACCGGCCCGCCCCTGATAGCCCCGCCCCGCCCCTCCCCTGGCTCCGCCCCACCCCGCCTCCGGACCTCCATTGGCTGTGGCAGTAGCATCGCCTTCCTCTGCCCCGCCCCGGCCCCGCCTTCCATCTACCATTGGCGGCAGAGGCCGTAAGTTCCCGGGAGGGGCGGGTGGGTAAAGGCCTGGAGGCGGAGACGAAAGCGAGATGGACGGGCAGCCAGCCAGTGAGCACGCTCAGCCGCCCTAGCAACTGCGGCCAGCCAATGGCTGGGCAGAGCGGGGCTGCAAGCTGTCAGGCATCAGGGGCCGCGGGGCCAGCAGCCCTCCAAGGACTGCGGGGCCAGCGCGGCGCTGGTCTGCCCTGCCGCCGCCTCTGAGCTGTCCCGCGGGCCGGGCATGAGCGCGGGCGCCGGTGCGGCAAGATGAGCACCGGGGGCAGCCCGGTTCGCGCCTATGATTTCCTGCTCAAGTTCCTGCTGGTGGGCGATAGCGACGTGGGCAAGGGCGAGATCCTGGCGAGCCTGCAGGACGGTGCGGCCGAATCCCCGTACGGTCACCCCGCGGGTGAGCACCGGGCCGGGAAGGAGTCGGGGTGGAGCGCGCGGGGACCTGGCAGGAGAGGGGCGCAGGTCCGGGAGTGAGGCCGGGGAGGACAGTGGAGGAGTGGGGGGAGCGCGCGGGGGCTGAGGAGGAGAGGGGACGCGGGCCCGGGGAGCGGAGCCGAAGACGGGAGCAAGAGAGGCCAGGGAGGCCGGGGAGGCGCGGGATCCCGGAGGGGAGCGCTCGGCGGGCCAGGGGAGCGCTCGGCTGGCCAGGGGAGCGCGGGTCGCGGGGCCTGAGAGGGAAAACGAGGTCGCGGAGGCGCGGGGAGGAGAGGCGGTGGAACGCGCGGGGACCGGGGAAGAGAGGGGACGCGGACCCGGGGAAGGGAGCGCCGGGCTCAGGGCCGTCCAGGCTCTGCCTGGATCCCGCCCGCACTACGCGGGCAGCCCCGGCTGCACCCCCTGCCCAACCCCGGACGTGGGGGACCCAGGCAGCTCATGGGGGTGGGGCTGGGACAGGCGCACGCAGCGCGTGCGGCGGGAGCAAGCGGCTGGATAGGGCGCTGGGGTCCTCCCGATCTGGGGGTGACGGCTAGGCGGAGGAGAGCGTGCCGCCATGCAGCCCGGGTTTGGGGAGAGGGGGTTGCAGGGTTGCTCCGGGCTGCCTCGCAGGGAGGCCGCACGTGTGCGCGACTAGTTTGGAAAGCACGCGTGGAGGGTACGGCGCTGGCGCGACGGGACAGGAGCGTGGGATCGGAGCGCAGCGGGTGCAGGCTCCCAGGTGGTGGCTCTGCTCGTGGGTCGGTTGGAAGGGGAGGGAGAGAAGGCGCAGAGAACAAGTCTTGAGGCTTCTCCAAGGTGACGTGTAGAGGGGCTCCTTGCGCTGATAAACAAGCCTGGGAGGGCAAGGAACCCAAGTGACCCTAGGGAGCGTGACCTGGGGCGCAGGAAGGGAAGCACCGACAGAGAGTGCAGGAGAGTGGGTCCCAGGGTGAGGGGAAGCCAGAGCGCCCAGAGGGCAGCCGGCAGGGGGTCCCCGAAGTTTGTAGTTTGAGAGCAGCAGCCCTTGAGAGGGAGTGGACATTAAAAGGAAAAGAAGCGGGGCGAAGAGGAAGCGGGGCGAAGAGGAGAGTGCGTGGGCAGGAACTTGGGCCAGGAGGTGGGAGGACAACCAGGTGTCCTGCGGTCCCACAGGTCTTTACCCACCACAGGCTGCTTGGATGGTGCAGAATGAGTGGCTGTGGAAGGAAACCTTTGAGCTGTCATCTCAGGGGTGGGAGCCACATTTCCAACACAGACGCTGCTGCTCCTGGGCTTGCAGTCTGGTTCCTGGGGAGCCGAAAAGGGCAGCCCAGGGACTGGAGTCTTAATGTTCAAGCCAGCCTGGGGGTGCTTCCTGTCCTGATCAGGCAGGGTAGGATTGAGAAGACAGTGGGTGGCAAACTGAGTTGGGAAAGGTTCGAGATGGGGGGCATGAGCTGATGGTGAAAACCTGGATCCATCCTCACACTGCAGTGCATAGTAAGATTCATCCCCAGTCCTATGAAAATGCAGATTCTGATTCTAGAACCATGTCGTCCAAGATGATGCCATTAACCACATGTGTGGCTTTTTACATTTAAAGCACGCGTAGTTAAAATGAAATACAACTAAAAGTGTGCATTAGCCACATTTTAAGTGCTGGACAGCCACTTGTGAGACGGCAGAGTTCTGCTGGACAGCGCAGCGCTGGGTTTCAACGGGGTGGGAGGTGGGGGCTGTGTCTGTTTCCTTCACGGCTGTGTCTCCTGGGCCTGGGGCTCAGTGAATGGATGGGCCAGAGGTGGAGTAACAAAACATTCAGCAAATAAAGCGCTGTGTATGTTTGGGGGAACAGGCTGTGGAACGTTTTCTGTTCTGTAGTAGGTGAACAGTGCAGGGGCAAATAGGAAGAATGTAGACAAATGTTTATAAAAGGAGGTCCTTCTGGCTGGTGTGAACAGAGGCTTGGTGCTTCTGCTTCATTACTTTCATTCTATGTGCTGAACCAAGACTGCTAACAACTAGTTAGCGCTTTCTTCTCAAGGTTTTTCCTTAACACAGAGGGAGGATTTAGGCTAAAAAGACACTTTCCACGAAAGGTTTTGTTATCAGCTTGGCTTGAGACACTGCGGAAAAGACCCGGTATGATAGATGTGCCCTATGTGGGTTTTTGATTTACGGAAAGATTCTTCTTGGATTAAGAAAAGAGATTATGAAAAATTGTAAGAAATTGGAATCATCATCATTATTATTTTAAAGATACGTTTCACTTTGAAACAATGTACATGCTTCTGGCAGAAAAGGTGAGGGCATTTCAGTCTCACAACCCATCCCCCTCCACCCGCCGCCTGAGTTTTCGGCCTGTGCTGTTATGTTCACATTGCCCAGGTTCCTAACACCCAATTCTGTATCGTAGCTACAGTGCCCACAGTTGCTCAGTGTTAATTCAACATTTCAGAGAACTCTGTGCTCACCGATAGTCCTTTTATTTTGCTGTCTAATTAGCTAATTTCATTTTCAATCATTTTTCAGGAAGGGCTTATGAGTATTACCTGCGCATTTTCATGTCTGACAGTGTCTGTCCATTGACTCTTATCTTTGAACAGTATCTTGGTTGGGTGTAATATTCTTAGCTTCTGTTTTCTTTCCCTCAACCCTTTGTAAGCATTGCTCCACAGCCCTCTGCCATTGGATGTGGGGAAGCCTGAAGTCAGCTGATTTTTTTCCCCATGTAGGTGATTTGCATTTTCTTCATGAGTTTCTGACGGATTCCTTCTTCTTGCTTCATTTCATGAGCTTAACCAGACCATGTCTCAGAGCTGAATGCTTCATTTTGAACTCCTGGTACACTGAGTACTCTTTCAATTTGCATATTTCTTTTTTAATTTGAGGGAAATTTATTTTATGTCCTTAAAACATCTTCTGTTACATTTATTGGTGTTTCTATTTCAGGGACACCAGTTATATTAGTTTCCTGTGGCTGCTGGACAAATTGCCACAAACTTAGTGTCTGGAAACAACACAAATTTATTCTCTTCCAGTTCTGGGGGTAGGTAGTCAACACAGTCTCATAGGCTAAAATCAAGGTCGGCAGGCCTGCATTCCTTTCTGGACGTGCTAGGGGTGAGTCTGTTTTCCTGCCTTTTCCAGCTTCTAGAATCTGCCTGTGTCTCTTGGCTTGTGGGTCCTCCCCCACCTTCAAAGCCAGCAGATGTCTCCCATCTCCTCATTCTGATGTAGACTCTGCCTCCCACTCCACTTTTAAGAACCCTTGTGATCACATTGGGGCCGCTGGATGATCCAGTATAATCTCTGTAATTTAAGGTCACCTGATTAGCAAACTTTTTTTTTGAATTTTATTTCATTTATTTTTTTATACAGCAGGTTCTTACTACTTATCTATTTTATACATATTAGTGTATATATGTCAATCCCAATCTCCCAATTCATCCCTGACTAGCAAACTTAATTCCCCTTTTCCATGTAACCTAACATATCCACAAATTCTGGGGATTAGGACACAGATCTCTTTGGGTGGGCCATTACTCTGCCTACTACACTGATTATTCTTACGTTGGGCTGTTTTTATCTGTCCTCCATTCATGTCTTCTAAGTGCCTTGTTCTTTTTGTCTTTCTCTCTGCATTTCTGTGGTACTCTCAAGGCTTTCCTATTTATTGGTAATTTTTATTTTAGCAAACTGTTTCTAGCTGTTCTAACTTATTTGTTAATTCAGTATTGATGTCCTTTTGGGGTCTGATTTTTCCTTACTTTTACAATTTTCCTTTTTTTCAATTTTTAAAGAATTCTTTAAAAATTCATTAGATTAAAAACTCTCCTTTGGGGCTTCCCTGGTGGCGCAGTGGTTGAGAGTCCGCCTGCCGATGCAGGGGACACGGGTTCGTGCCCCGGTCTGGGAAGATCCCACATGCCGCGGAGCAGCTGGGCCCGTGAGACATGGCCGCTGAGCCTGCGCGTCCGGAGCCTGTGCTCCTCGCAACGGGAGAGGCCACAACAGTGAGAGGCCCGCATACCGCAAAAACAAACAAACAAACAAAAACTCTCCTTTGAACTCTTATTTTACCAACAGCATGTTTTTATTAGGTGTTCCATTGCATGAAGTAACTGGGATGAGTTTCCTTCTGCTCCTGGGGTCATATTTCCTTTTAAGTTAGGTTCTATCTCTTTTCCCTTCCTTTTTAAACTTTTTATGGAAGTATGATTTACATATAGGTAAGTGTACCTATTGTAATTGCATAGCTCAGTGAATTTTCACAAAGCTAACACGCCCATGCAACCAGTACCCAGGAAGCACAACACCAACAGGCCCCTGGGCCTCCAGCCCTCCCCCAGCCATGACACCCTGCAGCGTCACCACTGGCCTGGCTTCTGACAACATGGGCCACTTTTGTCTCGTCCATTTTGTGTAAAAGTGAGAGCTGTAATGTGACTGCTTCTCTTGCTCCTGTTGTGTGAGACTCTCCTGGGTTGTGTATGGCTGTGGAAGGTTTATGATATCCCTGGTGTGAACGTACTGCGATCTGTTTATTTACCCATCATGCTGGGGTTGACATTTCTGTGGTTTCCAGTTTCCGGCTGTTGTGATTCGTCCTGCTGTGAACATTCCCACTGTGCGTCTTTAGAGTACAAAAGATGCGTTTCTGTCAGAATAGACCTAAACCTGGGATGGCCGAGTATTATGGTATGCATATGTTTAACTTAAGAAGATACTCCAAAATTGTTTTCAGTTTACGCTCTCACTGCAAAGATCGGGAGTTCTGTTTGCCCACATCCACATCAACATTTGGTTCTTGCTGTTTTGTATTCTAGCCGTTCTGGAAAGTATAGTGTAGTTGAATTTGCATTTTTCTGATGACTAATGAGATTGAACACCTTTGTCCATTTTTCATTAGGTTGAATTTATTTTACTGGTCAGTAGGTTGAATTTATTTTACTGGTCAGTATTTTACTGGTCTGGAAAGTATAGTGTACTTGAATTTGC